GATGACAGAGTGAGAAAGAGAGATGGAGGAGGAAGGAGTGAAAGGACCTATGGACAAACTCTGTGTATCGTTGGAAACCGCACTGAGGACTTTCCAAGTGACAAAAAAACATGAGTTCTTTCCAAGTGGAAATGCTCTATAACTGCAATCTATTGTTATCATTATCAGGTAGATAGATAGATAGATAGATAGATAGATAGATAGATAGATAGATAGATGGATAGATCAACAGACAGACAGACGGACAGACAGACAGACAGACAGACAGACAGACAGACAGACAGACAGACAGACAGACAGACAGACTAATGACGAAAAAGGTTGACATACAAACGCTGTGGACTGTCAAACCACCACCACCAATAACAACAAAAACAACAACAACAAACAGACACGCAAACGCACAAATAGACTCACTGTGTTTGACCCAGGCCGGGCTAGTGATGCTGACCAGCATGACGATGAGCGTCACAAAACTCACGGCCAGGCCCACGTAGCGCGCACGTACGAAAATATTATGATCCCAGAATTCCTGCAACATATGCCACTGCTCCGAGGTGAGCGCCACCTCGTTCTTCATCCGGAACTTGTTCTTCCGGTTCTTCTCGATGACGCGCATGGCGCGGACCTGCTGCTGCTTGTGTCTCCGGAGTTCTTTGAGGTCATCCTCCGACAGGTAGCGCGCCTCCAGGTCCGGGTGCACGAAGATGAGGCCTTCTTGTCGGGCCTTCTTCACCGGGGTGGACACCCGGGCGATGTCGTTGTTGTTGTTGATGTTGTTGTAGGTGCTACTGCGGAAGTTGTCCGTCTCCGCCTGCTCCATGCGCTCGATGCGGCGCCGGTAGCTGGCCCGGCGGTCACGTGACCATTTGGTCCAGGCCGATTCGGTGTGGACGCCCAAGAAGCGGTTGCTGCCTCGGCCCGAGCTCTTGTTGGTGGAGTTGTGGCTGCGGTTCGAACCCTTGCTCCCCCGGCGCTCCCACTCGCGGTCTATATGCTCGATGTTCAGGCCAGGTGCCTCCGGTGAGCTGGTCAGCTGGACCCGGGGGATGGGCCCGCGGGGCGTGTCCGGGACCTGGAACTTCGTGTAAGGCGGGCTTTTGCTGTTGTAGGCTGTGTTGCTAGGGACGCCCATCTCGGCGGCCGTCGCTTGCTGGAGAAGAGTTTTTTTGTCGGCGGTATTGTTGTGGGGCAGCTCCCCGTTCAGACCGTACAGACCCCCTCCCCCGCTCCTCCGCATGGGCGGAGAGGCGTAGCCACCGTCCAGGGCTGCCGGGTAGCCTCTGACCGCCGCCTCCCCCCCGCCTCCCCCTCCTCCTGTTCCGTTCACTCCTCGGTTCGCTTGGTGGAAGAAACCATCGTAATCCATGGGTGTCTTACCTCGACTCCTGGCGCTGCCACCTCGGCGGTCCTCATATACCTCTCTTCTCTTCCCCTCCTCTTCCTCCTCCTCCTCCTCTTGCTGCACTCGGCGTGGGTGGCTGGCGGGTGGTTTATCCGAGCTATATCTGAGAGCATCAGGTTGTCGCGGGGGGTCTGAGCGTGGTCGTTGACCATCAGTGGTCCTGGGGTAGTCCCGCGGGTAGTCTCGCTGTCTCACGTAATGTCGACCCTTGTCCGTGTCGTCGAGAAGTAGCGGCCTGGTCTTGGCGCGGACGTCAGGCAAAGTGTTACTCAGTCCGCGGCCTAACTCCGTATGAACCCCTCCTCCTCCTCCTCCCCCTCTACCTCCTCCACCTCCTCCTCCCCCTCTGTGTAACGGTGGCCACGCGTGGTTGGAGTTAGACCGGCCGTGCTCGCTATCAGTGACGACAGGTGGCGCCCCAACAACACTTGTGCTACTACTGTACGTTTTCTCGCGCACATCTGCTGCCGATCTAGCGCGGCTCACGTCAGGCTCGAGTAGTTGTGAGTGCGGCCGGTGGTGGTGTGGTGGTCGGGCCGCGCTTGGCTGCTCGTCGCTGTCAACAATGTGCTCAGAGCTACGCGCTGCTCCACGGTATCCGACCGAGTCGTCGCTGATCACACGACGATACTGTCTCGGCTCGGGCCGATTACGATCTCCGTCTGGGCGATACGCCCCGGTGTTGAGCACTCGTTCTTGGGAGTTGTTGTTGTTGTTGTTGTTGTTGTTGTTGTTGTTGTTTCTGTTGTTCTGTGACCGGCCGCTTTTCTGGCCCTCGTCTTCTGACGCGCGAAAAGCTGGCGGTAGATAATTATTTCTGTTGGCTGATGTGGTGGTGGGACGTCGCTCTGCCCGCGAGCGGGTCACGGGGACGTCGTTGTCGGCGGGGAAAGTTGTCTGTTTGATCTCAAACACTTCGTTGTCGTCATCACGCGAGCCGCGGGGGTCTCTGGGCCTGTTCTCACCGACTAGGACGAACTTCCGGTCTCGCGATCCCCCGCCTCGGTCAGCGTGAAGTGACGAGAGTTGTTCGTCTCTCCGTCCCGAGGACCTGTGATCCCCGATGTCCGAACTTCTGGTCCTGTGGTCACCGATGTCCGAACTTCTGGTCCTGTGATCCCCGATGTCCGAACTTCTGGCTTTGTCCGAGGCGGCTGATGGTGGTGCGCGCCTGTGTGTGACGTCAGCAGCAGTTTGCAGCTCCCCCGTGCGGAAACTGTCCTGGCGCCCTAGTGACGCGCCGCGCTTCCGGGCAGACTCGGACGAGCTTTGTCGGCTGGACAGATTCGAGCGCGGAGTTGTGGGCGGGGCGTTGGGCGGGTGCCTCTGTTCCCTGGCCTCATACCTCGCGTGGGCGCCCGAGGAGGAGGAAGGAAGCCGTGACCTCCGCTCGGGGGTGACCTCAGATGACCCCTCTGACCTCTCTGAATGACCTCCGGTGACGGGTCGGGAAGATGGCTGGAGGTCAGAGGTGGATCCTGCGCTGGGTGACCTCCCCTGCCTGTAGGTCGGGAGTCGGCTCGGTCGCTCAGAGGTCGCGCCGGTATCACGTGACTGTCGGTCGGCGGGCCGGGAAGAGGTGACGGGTCGGGCCTGTCTGTCCGCGGGCGTGTGGCTCGAGGAGGGAGTGGGCCGCTCTCCCGGAAGTTGTGAGGAGGAGGAAGATGGGCGGGGTTGTCTCTCCGAGCTGGCGGAGGAATAAAGGCGGGTCTCTCTAGAGGCGCTGCGAGAGGAGGGACGGGCTTCTCTCTCCGACGTCTGGGCCGGGGACCGAGACGAAGAGGAAGCTCGACCTTGACCCTGACCCTGACCCTGACCCTGACCTTGACCGTGACCGTGACCGTGACCTTGACCTCCTTGGGAGGAGGAGTAGGGGATTCCTCGGTGGTCACGTGACGACTCGGCGGGCTCTGATTGGTTGGAAGATCGGAGCGAACGGTCCGGAGCGGGGACACTAGAGCGAGATTGTCGAAATGATGAACTCTGGGAGGGGGGTGGCCTCGTTTGTTGTTGCTGTCGTTGTTGTTGGTGGTGCTCTTGTTGTTGTTGTTGTGGTTGTTGCTGTCGTCGTTGTTGGTGGTGCTCTTGTTGTTGTTGTTGTGGTTGTTGCTGTCGTCGTTGTTGGTGGTGCTCTTGTGGTTGTTGTTGTTGTTGTTGTTGTTGTGCCGCCCTACCAGTGTCTCTACCACCACCACTCAAGGCACTGTCGTGAGTTCTGTAGGCCGGGGGTGGGGTGTTCTGTTGTTGTTGTTGTTGTTGTTGTTGTTGTTGTTGTTGTTGTTGTTGCGGCGGCAGTTGGTGTCGCTCTGGGCTCCTGACGACTTGTCCTTGCACAGGCCGGGGTACGTATGACGTCACGCCCGCCCTATTACCGCCGGGGCCGGGGTTCGAAGACAAGGAGGATGACGCCACGCGAGACTGCGCTGGCGCTGGGTGAGCGGAAGTGGAAGAAGATGGCGGCGGTATTCCCTTCCCGTCAGGCTCGTGTCGGAGTCTGGCTTCCGGCGGGGCGTGGACTCTGGGCCCCGGCTGTACCAGGAGAACCGGGGCGGCGGGCGGGTGGCCCTGGGTGGGCGGCCGGTGGGTGCTCCGGGAAGGTTGCCAGAAGGCCGAAGAGGACGGGGAAATGGAGTCCTTTCGGAACCCAGACCTCCCCGTCGCGGGGGGTTGTGGGTAGGAAGACGGAGAGGTGGCGTCTGCTTTGACTGTCGCTCTGGCGGAAGGGTGAGGGTAGAGGGGGGAGGTGTCTCGTCTACCTACCCCTCTGTCCCAATCTCTGGACTTCACCCCACCTCCTCCTCCTTCTCCTCCTCCAACAGGAGATATGTACTCCTCTCTCCCTCCTGGGCCTCTCGCCCACACTCCTCCACCTCCTCCTCCTTCTCCTCCTCCTCTTTCCTTCTCCTCACCAGCGTTGCTATGGACGCTCTCCTGACTGGAGAAGCCGGAAGTGATAGTTTCCCCTAGTCCGCTAGTTTCCGTGGAGCTCTGAGCGGGCAAACGGTTGAGACTCGGGGCTCTCTCCACGGTACCCGCTTTGAAGGCTACGTGGGGCGCGTCGGGACTGAGGAAGTGAGAGGAGGTACTCCGTGGTGCACGCGCGCCTAACGTCGTGCTCTGTGCGGGCGCGCTCTGTCTCAAACCCGTCAGAGAGGAGGAGGAGGAGGGGGAGGGGACAGCGGCCGTGGCGCTAAGACGAGTCGTGGAGGAGGAGGAGGGGAAGGAGGAGGAGGGGAAGGAGGAGGAGGGGAAGGAGGAGGAGGGGAAGGAGGAGGAGGGGAAG